ACTCCTTGGAAAATATCTGTTTTTATGGTACTAACAACTTTATATTTTCATGGTTTTGGCAGAGTGATGCAATGAACACTTGCCTTCAATTAGCTGACGATATTGTTTTGAGACAATGTAAAAGAGAACAAGGTACACTCCTTAGTACACAACTCAAACTGTATAACAAGTTCAAAACGGGGAAAGAGGCTTCCTCTTTGCTAATTAACTTTTAACTTCATGGTTTTGGCAGAGTGATGCGTTGAACACTTGCCTTCAATTCTCCCATTTTCTTTATTATGAAGACTTAATTTTCACCATTATCTTTCCTAATTGACTTTTACCTTCTGCAGTGAGTTTGGTTAGGCTTTCTTACTCCGGCTGTCTTTAAGGTATGCATCCTCTGTCTTGTTTTGTTTTATTCAACATCGCAAGTCCTTCTTTTAAAAAGGACTTTTGTTTTGTTTGGTTTTATAAAACCCAAGAGATCTTCTTGATGATTTTTGTTTTTCATTTTAAACCCCAAAATGATCATAGGCAGACACTTATCTAATAGTGTTCTGTCATAATCTTTTTTGGGGACATTGTCCCGTTGCTGCCTCTAGAGAAAACGTATGCCACCCTAACAAGTTTGTATGGGTTGGTAGTGCATGTCTAAGTAAGGATGTTAGGGGATGGCAAATAAAGACCATACGGCTTAATAGTCAGTTTTCGGTTTTAAAGATGGATGGATTATAACGACCAACAAAGTCTTAAGACAAAAGACTATAAATCGAAAACAGATTCGTCCCAAGGCTTACAAAAACTTTTTAAGACACGTCGGTTATGAATGGAATGTCTTTAGACAAAGGCTATGGATGGTGAACGAGAACCATTTGAATGGGAAAATTACAACAACCCTCGGCTTACAAAGGTCATTAGCTAAAGCTTTTAAGACAGGTCAGTTTAAAAGACTCAAGGATGGGAAATGTCATAAGACAATATGGCTTAATAGTCTTAACACAAGACTTTAGTACCCACGGCTTTCTATAATCTGTTTTCGATTATATAGATGGATGGATTTTACGACCAACAAAGTCTTAAGACAAAAGACTACAAATCGGAAACAGATTGTTATACCCACGGCTTGCAAGTCTTTAGAGAAAGTCAAAGACAAAAACTTTCTAAGAGATGTCGGTTATGAATGGAAAATGTCCTTGGACAAAGACTATGAATGGTGAACCATTTGAATGGGAAAATTTATCTCAACACTCGGCTTACAGAAGTCATTAGCTAAAGACTTTTAAGACAGGTCAGTTTAAAAGACTCAAGGATGAGACATGTCATAAGACTATATGGCTTAATAGTCAGTCTTGACACAAGACTTTACTACCCACGGCTTTTTATAATCTGTTTTCGATTATAAAGATGGATGGATTATAAAGACCAAAAAAGTCTTAAGACTCCTTACTCTTTACCCATGGCTTACAAGTCTTTAGAGAAAGGCTATGGGTGGTGACTGAGAACCATTTGAATGAGAAAGAAAATACAACCCACAGCTTTTAAAAAATTCAGTAGCTAAAGACTTTTTAAGACAGGTTGTTTAAAAAGACTACAGGACAAAGGCTACGTAGAAAAGGACAGGGGTTTCTTTCAGTTTGTTGGATGGATAGAACGACTAATAGCTGAAAAAGGTCTTAAGACAAAAGACAGAGACCCAAAATGACTTGATGGATGGAAAAGAAAAGCAAACCACCGGCTTAGAGAATGTCTATATGACAAAGACTATGTGGGCTAGCTTTCAACTTGTTGGATGGCTATAACGACCATTGGTTGAAAACAAATCTTAATTTAACCGCAAGACTTACAAGTGACTAATTTTTAGACAGTGGCAACATGTCAATTTTTCAATTCGTTGGATGGAAAATGACCAACAGTTGAAATAAGTCTTTAAGGCATACTCTGAAACGAAAACAGGTTCTTATCATACCACTTACTGGATGGAACTAACGACCAGTGGTGGAAAAAAAGTCTTCAAAATAAAGACTGAAAATGGAGAGAACTTCTCTATTTTACGACTCAGAATAGTTTTAATAAAAAAAACTATGGGTTGGGTTGGTTTCACCTTGTTGGATGGAGTAAACGACCAACAAGGATGAAAGAAGTAGGCTATGAATCAAAGACACGATCCTTACCTGACCACAAGTCTTAGAGACTATGATCCTGACTTTGATTTGTTGGATGGAAAATAGACCAAACGGCTGAAAAGACTTGTCGGATGGAACCTGTGATCTATGGGTTTTACCATTGAAAGACAAAAGACTATGGGTTTGTGTTCGGCTTGTTGGATGAAACTAAAGACCAAAAGCTGAAAGAAGTCCTAAGAGAAATCAATGAGAAATATTTTCTCTACCACGAGGTTTATAAAAAGGTCTTAAGACAAAGACTTAGACCCAAAATGAAAAGAAAGCACACCACCGGCTTATAGTATGTCTTTAAGACAAAAGACTATGTGCTAGCTTTCNGAGAAATATTTTCTCTACCACGAGGTTTATAAAAAGGTCTTAAGACAAAGACTTAGACCCAAAATGAAAAGAAAGCACACCACCGGCTTATAGTATGTCTTTAAGACAAAAGACTATGTGCTAGCTTTCAACTTGTTGGATGGATATAACGACCAACAAAGTCTTACGACAAAATACTACAAGTCGAAAACAGATGTCTTACTCTTTACCCACGGCTTACAGGTCTTTAGAGAAAGCCAAAGACAAAGACTTTTAAGACCTATCGGTTAAATTGATTCATGGATGGAAAATTTCCTAAAACAAAGGCTATGGATGGTGATCAAGAACCGCATGAATGGGAGAGAAAATTACAACCCACGGCTTAAAAAAGTCTAGTTTATAGACAACGAGTATCAGTTTTTCAATTTATTGGATGGAAAAACGACCAATAGTTGAAATAAGCTTTAAGGCAAAGACTGGAACGAAAACAAGTTCTTATTAGAGGAATTGGAGTTGATTTACGACTTGCTGGATGGAACTAACGAACCAAAAAGGATGAAAGAAGTCGACCAACGGCTGAAAAAGACTTTTTGGATGAGACATATGATCTCTAAAGACACGGAATGAAAGGGAAACAAACTCTTTGTTTTTGCCATTGAAAGGCAAATATTCTATGGGTTTGTGTTCGCCTTGTTGGATGGGACTAACGACCAAAAACTGAAATAAGTTCTAAGAGAAATCAGTGAGAAATCTTTTTCTCTACTATAAGGTTTATAAGTGATTTGAACATAACAAAGACGTGTCAAAATCAAAAACTGATTCATAATCTGGGAAATGAGAGGAACAAATCAAGTATGAGGCAGAGCCATGAAAAAAAAAGAGAGTAACTACTTTTTTTTTTTTGCAGGTTTGATCTTCAGAGGTGTTGAATTGTGATTCTGAAGAGATTTCAAGTGTCGTAGACTTTTGTGAAAGGTATGTGCTTTTCGAATCTCTTTGTAATTATTTGAGTCTAATGTAGATATCCAACAACATATAATTTGAAGGTATATATTTTGAAGGTATGTGATACTTATGCAGTTTATGGTTATAATTTTCTTGACTCTCGAAACTAAACCCTTTGCTGATCATTCTTAAACATAAGAAATGCCACTTTGCTATCTTAAAACTAATTCTTGTTGTTGTAGAGCATCATGCACATTCTTCATTTGTTTTTGTTGTTGTATGAACATTATGCATTTTAGTTAAGTTCTGATATTTTGTAATTTTATAACTATTTTTGATTGTTGCTTAAGCTCCCTACACATTTTCATTAGTTTTGGCTGTTGAGTAAACATCCTACACATTCTGCATTAATTTGGTTGTTGTATGAGCATCATGCACATTCTGCATTAGTTTATGTTGCTGTATGAGCATATGCGTTTTACACATTGATGCATTATGCATCATGTCCTTGCAATCTTTTAGTTAAATTCTGATATTTTGTAATTTTATAACTAATTTTGGTTGTTGTATGAGATCCCTACACATTTTGCATATTGGCTGTGGAGTGAGCATCTCACACATTCTGCGTTAATTTGGTTGTTTTATGAGCATCTTGCACAGTAGTTTTGGTTGTTAGATGAGCATTATGTGTTTTACACATTGCTGCACTATGCATTTTTTCCTTGGAATATTTTAGTTAAATTTTCCAGTGTGCATCATGATTCATTTACTATATGTCTTGCACTTGGTTTGTTTATTATTTACTCCATATGTAACATTTTAAGAATATAGTGTTTACCGTTGTTTGTTTAGTATAAACAATTTAAACCAAAAGTTAATTGTCATCTTGATTGTATTGTTTGTTGCGTGATATTTTCTTTGTAATCATATGCCTTCCAGTTTCAAACTATTTTTTTTGTTTAAAATACTATCCTTAACAAATCATAGGTTCTAACAGTCACTATTTTAGATTTATTATTACAATAGGAATCTCCTACTTAAAAAAACATTTAATCAAATGTGCAACAATGTGCACATAAGAACTTCTAAAAAAGCAACTAATACATTCTTGTAATTTACTCTCTCATCCACATAAGACCTCGAGATGTATAAAAGAAAATTGTACCACATCTATAACACAAATCACCATTTGTACTATATTACAACGAAGTCCTCACCTAATGTGGAGAATATATATAAAACCTCTACTTCTTTTTTATACACTAAACCACAATTTTATTATTGCAAAGATACACGAATCTAAACATTGCCGTGCGAAGTTTCGTAACAACGTAAGGCAATTTTTAAAATTAGGAGTCTTTATATACAGTAAGGAAACAATTTTTAAAAAAATACTGAACAAAAGAATCGAATTCAGGTCAAAAACCTATTAAACACATCAAAATCATTCTAAAATGCTTGATTTTTTAGTAAACATTTTGGGGCCTGAGGCTAATGCCTTTTTGAATACACACTAAGCACACCTCGGCATACACACAAGAAAAACTTCTAAAAATATACCAAATTACAACGCCAAAGCTTCCTTCCTCTCTTTTACCAACTCTCCTCCTTCTCCAAAGCTAACTGGTCATTCTTGATCAGAATGGAATTAACACTCTCATCCACTGCTTCCGTCACATTCATCTTTCTCGGATCTCCTCCTCCACCGGAGTTTCTCCTATCATCTTTGTACACTGAGTCCTCAGCTTCAAGCATGTGAATGACATGACCCATCTTTGGTCTCTTCTGAGCATTTGGATCAATACATCTCAAAGCCACCAAAAGACTACGCTTCAATGACATCAAAGACGGTTTCTCCACCAACCTCGGATCCAAAACCCCTTCGGCTTCTTGGTTACCATTCTCTTCAACCACTCCACAAGATTCACTTCTCCAACAGGCCTGCTATAATCCACATGATTCATCCCTGATATCATCTCCATAACAAGAATACCAAAGCTATAAACATCGCTCCTCTAATTCAACATCTCCGTACTCGCGTATTCAGGAGCCACATAACCAAAAGTACCCATCACACGAGTAGTCACATAGCTCATCTTAGAACCCAAGAGCTTAGCTAACCCAAAATCCGAAACTTCCGCGTTCCATTGCTTGTCAAGCAAGATATTACTAGACTTGATATCCATGTGAACAACTTTAAGTTAAAGACATTCATGTAAATACATTAAACCTTTAGCTCCTAACCCATCACCGTGAAGCTACTGTTCCAAGTTCTCATTATCAACATACTCGTAAACTAACATCCTATGCTCTCCTTCAACGCAGTAACCAAGAAATCTCACCAGATTCTTAGTATATAATTATATATACACGTTAGCGTAACAAGACGGGGAGATTTAAAACTAATGTCCATAGAGAGTGTGATGAATCAAGAGAAGAGAAGCGCTAACGTGGGATATTTAAGCTACAGACTAAAAATTAATAGGATTGACAAAGCTGGTAGATGATAAAATGATGTCATGCAATGCAAATAATAACTGGCCGTAACCAAGAATTTGTTATGAGATTATGAGAAATCATATAAGAAATGTTGGAACGGTATTTTGGGTCTGTTGGTGGATAAGGCTCAAGACAGAACCACAAACTTTCTAATTCGATACACTTTTCAAATTGTGATCCACATTATTTGGCTTGAAAGGAATGAGAGACGACATGGAGAAGATCCAAAGACTCCAGCTCTCATTATAGGCTTCATTGACAAATCAATACGTAACAGAATCACATCACTTCGAGTCCGAGGAAGCAAAAGATTTGCCAAAGCTATGGCGTTTGGGTTTGCAGCTAGAGAGTAATCACATACTCTGTTATACTCTGTTTTTTTTTTCCAAAAAAAGAAGGCTATTTCTAGCTAGATGAACGATCACATTCATTGTACAAAAGTTTTTTTGTTTGAATAAATTTAAAATTCTTTCAAAAAAAATGTTTCAACAGTTGTGTGATCGTTTATAAAGATGATCCTGGCCTACAAGAATCACGAGAATGTGGATTTTTTAATGAAGTTTAGATGTGCTTGTTCGTATGTTAGCAGCAGTGCCGGTCCGGACAAAAAATTTTCCGCGCTTCCAAACCAAAAGCTGAAAATCAAAAATATAAACTTAAAAACTAAAAACAAAAAAACAAAATCTAAAACCAAATCTAAATATAAAAACTGAAACTAAAAACTAATGCAAAATGATTACCACCACAAATTTTGGATTGCTGATTTTATATCAAAATATACTTTAAATAAAACAAAACCCAATTATATAAATTTTTAATCATAAAAAATTTTCCGCGCTTTCAAGCGCGGGTCAAAATCTAGTTTTCTAATAAAATAAAAAAGATTACTAAGGTTTTGTTATATTGAAATTGCTTATAAACCATCAAAAACAGCACGTCTAGTAAAAGAAACTAAGACTGTTAATACTGTATACTGGGAAAAACAAGGAACGCAGGGTGTCGAACTATTGGATGTAAGACAAAATGGATCATTGGCCACTAGACTAAAGTGGACATCTTAGAATCTGGTGCCCCTAAAACTTCATATTCGTTGGCACTCAAAGTGCATGCTTTACGGGCTTTATCCCACGGCCAGCTCTGGTTAGCAGACTCATATTACAAAGCCTCAAGAGAACAAACATCGACATGTTACCGCATTCTGTTTTCTTTTGAAGAAAAAAGTATTATTTATTTACCGTGGTCGCATTGGAACTCAGTGATATGCATGTCAAAGTGCAAATTCCCAGTGATAAAAAATATTGGAAGCAACACACTCCTAGTGCTTGTGATTTTAACTTCAACATGGAAAAAAATATACAAAGAAAAAAGGCATATTTCAACACGAACATTACGAATTGTGTCTTTTCTTTTATGGATTTTATAGTAGTCCGTATTTCATTATAAATTTTTATAAAATCAAAAGCTCTATATAAACTCTCAAAATCGTGTATATGTTAACCGCCAAAGATGTTAATCAACCGTTAAATTATCAAAATGATGACGTTTTGGATAAATTTTTAAAAAATACTAATATGCTATTTCTCGGGCATTGAAACACAACAGTGAACATTTTAACCACTAGATTAAAAAACAAATTCTAATATTAGTGGTATAAACATTAAATTATATATATGCTTGCTTTTATTAAATAAATCTTATCATTTTTTATTTTAGTCTTATCAAATAAACATATAATTATCTATGTTGAAACTAATTTTACGAATCCTTATTTTATAAATTTAAATGAATTAATATTAATATAAATAATTAATTTTAGATTATTTTATTAAAACAAAATAAATTGTAAAAATTAAAAAAAAAATTATGTCTATAGAGTTAAATTTATAAGTTAAATTTGACTTTATATATTTCAAGGTTGATAATATTACAATATATCTAAATTACTTGTTTGACTTTATGTATTTCAATTGTAATACTACAATTTTAATAATATTATAATCTATTTCAATTTTGACTTTATATGTTTGTTTTCAATAAAACTAAAAAAATATTGAAGTTAATAGTAGTTAAGTAAAATTTATAAAACAAGATTTTTAAAATTTATTTAAAATATAAATAATTATAGATATATGTGATAAACTAAAACAAGTAAAATTGATAAGATTTATTTGATAAAACGGAAAGGTATATATAATTTAGTGTTTACACCACAGGTATAAGAAAATTACTTTAGTCTAGTGGATAAGATGTTTGATGTTGTTTGTCAGGCGCAGCTCAAAGCTAAGAAGTTTTTTATATGTTTTTGTTGTAAATAATTTATCCAAAATGACTTCGTCGTTTTGATAAATTAATGGTTGACTAACATATTTGATGGTGGACATATGTATACACATGATTTTGAGGGTTCAACACATGATTTTGAGGGTTCAGATAGGATTTTTGATTTTTATTTTTTTTTAAGTTCATGATAAAATACGCACTTTTACAAAGTCCGTGAAAGAAAATGCATGGCTCTTAAATTTTGTGTTGAAATAAACCCTTCTTTCCTATAGAGACATAAAAAAACCGAATTGACATGTTGTGTCAACTCGGTGAATATTGTTCTATTCTTTTGGGAAGAAACATATTTTCGTTGATTTGGTGTATCATAACTGATAAAGATATCTTGAACCGTATGATCAAAACTCAAATATCATCTCTTCACTAGTGAGGAAGTCCACCAGAAGATGAGATCAAAACATCAATCTCTGGTGCTTAAAAGATCGGCCCTGAACATAGGCTCATTGGTCTATCTCTCAAAATATTTGGAAAATTCTACATGCACATAAACTTCAAATTTATAATAATTATCAAAACTCTTAATAAATTATTTATTTATCTCCAAAATCTTAACCGGCTCTGAGTTACTAAGATCTCTTATATAAAGTTACTAGTTGGTAATCGGCACCCTGTACGGTGTGAATGGATTAAAAGAAATTATAACTTTTAAGGTGCAACATCTTCGATTGGGTTAAGGGCGTCGAGGTAATTGCTGAAGGTTTTATGGGAACGACTGCCCATATGAGCTGGTGAACAATCTTCCTTTGGGTCCGAATGCTGTAGTTATGAGAGTTGCTAAGATGCTTAATGGGAAAGCTTTTCTATGGAGGCCAACAACTGACATGACAACAATGAGTGATGCTGTTAATGAAAAGATCGCATGGCCGCTCCATATATAATGTATCAGTAATTAAAATTCTTGAAAATCAAGGCGAAGCTACTGTCAGAAGACCTTCACTGGTAAATTTACAATCTTATTCTCTTTTGTAAATAATGTTACAACATTTTATTTAGATGTGCTTGTTGTGATGTATCTGTTGTGCTTGTAGAGTCCAAGTGGCAGCACTAGTTCCACCAGATCATGTGGTAAAAAGAAGTGCATCTTGTTAGACCTGAACAACTCAGGACGAAAATTCGCAGAAGGCAGAGTAAGTTGTACTGATCCATTGTGTCTTGTCCATCACGTCCCGGTAGGTCCCAATACAAGTCGGGTCTGGGTTGAAGTGGCGTTGGTTGAAGATGCAGCTCTATGGAGACCAAACTCTTTTCTCCAAAACATATCAGATGCTGTGGGCAGCACAGTCGCTTGGCCAAATGATAAGATTATGTATGTTTGAAAACAAAGTGTGCTTGATTGTACTCTTTTAGTTGTTAAGACATATTTCGTTTGGTTGTTTTGGGCAGCAAAATGGCTTCGCCAAGTCGTGTATGCTTGTTTTGTTTTAAGACGTATGTTGTGTAGGCTTGACATATTTATGATAAGATTGTGTAGGCTAGACATATTTATGATCATATTTTATGTTTTGTAATGGTTTACAAATGAATAACCAAGTTGTATAAAAAGAAGTGGTCCATTAAAATTTATACAATTTGAAACAATTTAGATTTTAGGGTTTATTTAGGGATTCAACCCTATTGTAACGAATTTAGGGATTCAACCCTACCATCATCTAGGAATTATTTTTATGCTTTTTAATGGTTTACAATTGAATATCCAATTTGTATAAAAGTAAATGATCCGTAAAAATTTATACATTCCGATATAAATTTAGATTTAAAGGTTTATTTAGGGAATCAACCATATTGTAACGAATTTAGGGATTCAACCATAACATCATCTAGGAATTATTTTATGCTTTTTAATGGTTTAGAAATGAATATCCAATTTGTATAAAAGTAAGTGATCCATAAAAATTTATACATTTGATATAAATTTAGATTTAAGGGTTTATTTAGGGAATCAACCCTACTGTAACAAATTTAGGGATTCAACCCTATTGTACTGAATTTAGGGATTCAACCCTATCATCATCTATTCTCCATAAAAAATCTAAACTCCATTTTAAACAATAGTTTTATTTTATACATAAAATTTAGAATTAATAATAATTAAGTATAAAATTTTAAATTGTGTTTATAACATAATTTCCCACCCTTTTCATGCAATTTGCGTAATTTAAAAATAACCTTCCCCCCCCCCCCAATCTGATTATAATTGAATTAATAGAGTGAGTTTCATTCAACCAATAAGAAGAAAGGGCGCATATAGATGATGTGCCTTCATACAAGCCGTTGGATCTGATTTTTTTAATTATCTTTCAATCTCCTTCTTTCCATCTCCATCGGAGATCTCTGTTCAGTCTCCCTC